CCTCTCCTCTACCTGAAGGAGCCCCAGCTTGTTTGCTTAAGCCCAGGGCCAAGCATCTTATCAGCATCTCTCTGTATCCTGGAATCAGCCCTCTGCTTGTATGCCTTAGCCAAACTATAGACCTGCTGGACCAAGTGAGGCAGCATTCATACCCTGAACCTACTCCCAGGACAGACATAGCTAATCAATCATAGGACTAAGAACCAGTCTCAACACAATATTTCAGGCAGCTACTGCCAATCAGCAAGTTGGTATAGGACATGAAATCTATTTATGGTACCACTCTTAGATCCCAAATCTGATCTCAGTTCCTGAGAGATTCCTCCTAACTAAGCCTGTTTACCTGCCTCTGTGTCCTGCCCACCATTCCGTTTTGTATGATTCTTATAGCTGCCCTGTCAGTGCCTATAAAGACCCTCAGATTCGCCTGGCCCCCAAGTCTGTATTCCCTTTAGCCATTGTCCACTGTGCCAGTGATGCTCTGTGGGTTCCAGAGAGCCCACCATCCCAGAGCTCACTACCTCTCCATCAGGGAATTCCCAGCAGAAATGCCAACAGGGGGTGGCAAATGGGGAAGGAGGCCAATACCCTAATAGTGGATACTCCCAACTGCAAGAAGTGGGTAAAAAAAGTGGGAGCTCACTTGGACCTCAACATGATTTTAAATAAGCTAAAATGGGTGACGGAGAGTCAACAATTACCTGTGCCTCGGCCGTAGCAGAAGCAAGAGCCTAGCACTCTCACAAACCTGAAGTCTCTTACACCAACAAACCATTCACACTGCTGGAATAGTACCCGCTTCCAGCTCTGTTACCCCAGTAGAACCCTGTCCAGGCTCTCAGCTCACCTCCTGATCCACCTCACCCCACCCTGACTCACAAGTCTCCTCCGAGCTTGTTGAAGGCACAGGCCAGGGCCACCACCTGGTCCGTGGCCCGACTGATGACAGGGACACAGAGCATGGTCTGCAGCTCACAGCCCAACATGCTTTGCAGCTGCCGCACATCCTCCTACAAAGGTGAGGTGAGTCAGGGCAGGGGAAGAGGGAGAGAGTATGTTTCCCTCCCCCAGCCCAGCACCATCTGCAACAGGCGGCTCTCAGGGACTCCTGCAGGTGGGAAGTGCTATGGTTGGGGGTGGACTGGGAGGAAGTCCCTGGGTCTTGTTGCCAGCCTTCCTAGGCTGCCCTGTCCCAGCGACCCTGGCCATGGCAGCTGGACATGGTCCTCTCCCTTTGCCTCCTCCCCTGGTCCAGTCAGGCATGGCTTACTGTGGTGAGATCTTTCAGCTGGATACACTCCTTGTCTTCCACCACCTGGCCCAGGCGTCCCATTGTCAACTGTGGAGGGAGGAGTGGCTGAGTCAGGGCCCACCCTGGCCTGAGGTCAAGGCCATCTCAGACCCCAACCCTCCTCCCCAAAGTCTGGAAGATTCAAGGACCTTTTCAGTCGGTCCAAATGGGGAATGGAGTCAACACTGAGAAAGGGGGGGGGGGGTGTTCTGCTCCTGACCAGAACGCCCTATGGAAGATGTAGGGTCTCCCCTGACTAGGAGAGAGAAAAAGCAGACTCCAAGATTCTCATTGATCGCGACAGATTCTAAGAGAACCAAAATCCAGAAACACCCCAACAGCGGTAAACTGGTCCCAAGTAAACTGTTCTGTAGATTGCATGAGATTTCTCCTGTGGATCCTGATCAAGAAAGGCTGTGAGCGCTCAGAACATTTCTAAGTAGACCCCAAGATCCAGGTAATTCCATCCGATTCCAAGAGATTCTGGCAGATCCCAGTCTCTCGGTGCAAATCCCAAGTGCGCCTCGTTTGCCTTAACTGCTCCTGCAGACTCACCGGGAAGCTGATCTCTTCCTCCAGCACTTTATCTCCGATGACCTGCGGGGCAGAGGGGCGGCGACCCATTAAAAGATCAGCGGGGTTTTTCTCCTTAGAGACACCGCCCCCCTCCCGGTCCCGGGGACCCGGCCCTCACCTTACAGGAGAGCTGGAGATTGTCCTCCGACACCAGCAGGAGGCAGCAGTGGGACGCCTGGGTCTCCTGCTGCAGCTGGAAGGCAAGCACCCCGCGAGGGGCTGACCGCGGGTCTGGGCCGCCCACTCCCCACCCTCTCCCCTCTGAGGCTCCTCGGGTGGGTGGGGAAGAGGCGAGGGGCGGGACGTGGAAATCCCAGCTGAGAGGGAGCGCTCGAGACACGTCGGTCCCTGGGGGAGCAGGAGCGGGGCGTAGGGACTCACGTATTGGAGGACTTTGAGCTGCAGGGAAGAGGCGTCCAGATCGTAGAGTTCCCCTGCAACGGCGGGGCGCGGGTCAGAGGTCAGAGGGTCCTTAGACACCCTCTCCCCCCCCCCGACTCCCCCGCAGCCCCAACTTGGCGGTCCAGCCCGTAGATCTCCCCTCCGACAGCTACCCCGCGCCCCCCGCCTCGCCCCCCCTCTAAGGCCCCGCCCCCGCACAGGCCCCTCCCCTCCAGGTGGGACCCCTCCCCTCCAGGGGGGACCCCGCCCCAGAACCTGTCGCTGCTGGGTCCTCACCGCACAGCTGCAGGATCTTGCCGTCGTTGTGGGTGTATCCAACCCGGCCCTTCTGGTCTCCCGCTGTCCCCGCCGGGGGTTTCTGGACAGTTTCGGGGGCCACGCCGGGCCCGCGCTGCTGCAGGGCCTGCACCCTTCGCAGGGCCACCAGGGTCTGGGGCGGGCCAAGCGGTCAGCTAGCCTCTTGCCCCACCTTTTCCCCCGCGCTCGCCGCCTCGGGACCCTTCGCCTGGGCTCAAGCCATTTCCTCTGCCTGCGGTGCCCGTCGCCCCCACCACCGTCCGAACCACTCATTCCTCAGCGCCCCACCCTCCCGTGGGCTCCCACTGCCTCTGGAGCGTCCTCCCTCCAGCCTCCACCCCTAGCCCCAGACTCTTCCCAGACAGGACAAGGGCGCTCTCTCTGTGTCTCTAGCACCCACAGGGAATTCTAAGTCCTTGTGAAAGTCAGCATGAAATCTCAGGAGAGAGCCTCGGTATCATTACGTAGATAGTCCCTCGTCAGTACTGACCAGATACTTGATTCGCCTTATCTCACCAGTACACCCTATAGGTCAGTGCTTTCCTCATCCTCATTTTCAGATGTGAAACTCACTGATGCTCAGAGAAGTTAAGTGACTTGCTCAAGGTCACACAGCCCAAAGGTGGCGGACTGGAACCCAGGTCTGTCCAGCTCCCTGGCAAGATCATCTCACCCACTGTGATGAGGGTCTTCAGCAGCCCCCTGCCTACCCCAACCCTACCCCAGCCCTACCCCCGCCTACCCCAGCCCTACCCCAGCCCTACCCCCACTCACATGCTTCTCCACGGCTTGAAGGCTGCATTCTTGACTGTCACTCAGCTGGCCACAGTGCACCTGGAGGGATGGGGGAGAAGAACTAGCTGTGACCGCCCCTAGCCTCCTACCTCTGTCAGAGGGCCCTCCCCATGCCTGGACACACCTGTCCCCACCAACACATAAACACTCCAGTCTGCGGGCTTCAGTGCGAAGCCTGTCCTTCTGGCCGAGCACAGGGCTCCAGGAGAGTCCCCTCCTCCAGCAAACCTCCTAGGGCTAATTCAAATAAAAGTGGAACGTGCCCGATCTCTGCCTTTTCAGTCACTGTTCCATCAACGGCACAATTCAGGTGGACAGTGAGGAAAGGGGGTGACCTGGAACTCCCCTCCATCTCCCGCCTATGGAGCCCTTCAGGACCCAGTTATGGAATCAGTGCTCTTAGCCCAAGCCTCCCATCTCCAGCCTTTCTGAGTTGGGGTTTGAACTGCCCCTAAGTCTGGGTAAGAGAAGACGTCTGACAGCTCTGATGCATCTGCTGTGCCTTAAGAACTTGGGAAGATGGGTGAGTAAATGAATGAATGGAGTGATAAAGTGCTTCGATCAAAACGTGAGTCTCACCATCCAGTAAGGCAGGCTTCCACTTGCAGATGGACCGAGGCCCAAAAAGGTTAAGTGACATGCCCAAAGTCACACAGAAGAAAGGGGCAGGATTGAGACAGTACCGACCACTCTCCCCCACCTTCTCTGCCCGCACCTTCCATTCTCCAGACCCACTCTCATCACCACACACATTAGCCCGTCTCTCCCTAACTTCCCTGTGTCAGTTACCAGAACGCCCCTCAGCCCACCTTTCATACCCCGTGGGGTCCCTTCCCACACCCTTGCTAGAGTGCTTGACACAGAAAATGAGAGGGACAGAGGGAGGGATGGCAGTCTGGGGACCCACTGCAGGCCCTGCTAGCAAAGATTTCCAACAGCGTCACCAGCTTCTGGTGGTGCCTACTCAGAGCTGCTCATCGCCTGCAGGGCACCCCATGGTGGCTGCACTGGGGTCCCCTCCTACATCCTCCCTTCTCACTCAGCAGCTGCCTGCCTGCCTGTGCTCTAGGTCCCCCGCCAGGAGCAGATGGAGAGGAGACCAGCAGGTTCCCAGGAAGCTCACATCTGGCTGGGGCAGGATGGAGTGGGGGATGTGATCAGGAGGTGCAGAACCTCATACCTGAGGAAGAAGGAGAAGGCAGATGGGGTGGATGGGAACTTAAAGGCTGTGGGAGCTCGGGGGTGGGGGTGGGGGGAGGGCATCCGGGAGGCTTCCAGAGCTGGCACTGAGGCATGGAGAGGACAAGTAGAGCCTGAAGAGAGGGGACACTGCAGGCAGGAGCTGTCCTGGCAGTGCTGGGTAGAAGGTGGTACAGGAGATGAGGATCCGGGCAGGAGTGGGGTCCCCTTGCCCCAGGGGGCGGGCCTGGAGTGCCAGGCTAAGGAATTGGACTTTAGCTTGAGGGCCATGGCCTATGGGGTGTAGGGTGAGTTGGAGGAAGCAACACTGGAGGCAGGAAGCCCTGGACAGGGTCTGGTGGGATTGAAGGTTAAGCTCTGGCTGAGGCCCCATCTATGACTCCCATGGGACAGGGAGTTGGAAGAGGCTGGGGCATGGTTCATTTGCATGTGATTCATATCAACATTTCAGCATTTCACTGTTAGTAGATGGGGAGGACATCTACTTGTTTCTTCCTCCTGGACCCATCTCTCAGGAAAAGGGAAGGTCGGGGCCCCTCTAGGGCTATGGGGGCAACCAGTTCCTGGGCTGCCAAAACAGCTTGGTCCCAGTAGAGAGCTGGGAGACTGAACGAGAGCCTCAGAAGGCCAGGGGAAAGGAAGGAATTGTGGAGCCCTCCACCCCCTGGACCTCCCCCCACCCCAGCACACACTCCTGGGCTGCCTCACCCCCTTCCCCACCCACATGTGCACAGTCAAAACTGTACACAGGATACTGAGTTCGAATACCCAAGAGCCATGCACACGCTTCTGCCCCGCCCCCGTATGCAAACACACTGCCACACACACACACACACACACACACACACACACACACAGCTTTTTGCTCACCAACAGAAACACACACTTGCAGGGAGCTTGTCTGGGGCCCAGTGGCAGCCCTGTGGTGGGCACTGGGGCTGTAGAGAGGGTTGAGAACCCAGCAAAGCCCCCACACCTCATCCTCACCAAGTTCAACATGGCTAATCCCCATGCAAGTGGCTGGCACAGTGGGGGGCGGGGGGGAGCGTGGGCACACATCACACATCAAATGCCAGAGACCAAGTACCTCCCACTCCTCAAAGGGACTTATTATCCCAGAACTGAAGAACAGAGCCAGACTCTTTCCACACAAAGAACCTGTAATCAAGGTGCCTGGAGCTGCAAGCTGCAGAGGCCCAGAACTATTCGAGGCTGCCCTGCGCCTGGAGGGCATATCTCTCAGAGAGCCTTCCATTGTCCACACTTCCACCAGGCCCCAATATTCCTTGCAGAGCTCCCTGGTTTCCTTGCTTGCACTTGCCATCATTTGCAATTCTACCCTTATTTTGGTCCCTGGTGTGTCTGTCTCCTGGGCCGCTCCAGACTATGGTCTGTGGAAGCAGGGCCTGTCTGGTCTCTGTCATTGCTGTTTGCAGCACCTAGCACACAGTGCCTGGCAGTGCTCGGGAAATATGCCTTCCATCGACGGATGGGTGGATGGGTGAATACCAAGAGCAGAGACTCAGAGAGGGGAATGGGGCTTGCTGAGGCAGGAGCTGGTGAGTCAGTCTTCCCAAAACATCTGCCCTGGAGCAGGCCCTGTACCCTCTGCACCCTCTGCCCTTGGAATCTGGTAGCAGCTGGGAGGTTCAAGGCTGCTGTGCTGCCTCTTGGAGGATGTGAGGTCCTGAGGCCCAGGAGCGCTGGGGTGGAGCAGCAGGACAGGATTCATCAGTTGTATGTGCACTGAGGACAGGGGTGTCCTGGAGGCATGCTATTTGAGTAGGAAGGCACAGGCTTGGAGAAGAGTCAGGCCACGAATAATCCATACACCTTTCTAGAGCTTTTCACTGCCAGGCGTGTTCAAGAAGGGGAGGGGACAGTTGTTGGGAACTCCTGGTAGCCAAAGTCCCAGGTAGCATCTTGCTCAACAGCAGGCACCTCCGCCTCACCAGGATCACACTCTTCCTCCAACACCCCACCACCCTCTCCCTGCCCTGCCTTGCTCATGCTCTGCCCTTGGTCTAGAATACCCTTTCTCTTCTCTGCCTGCAGACATCCTCCCTGTGCCCAAAGCCCATTCACAGGCCGTCTCCACTGTGAGGCACTCCTTGTGCTCCAGCCTCTGCCACCAAAGCATCCGTATTTATTCCCTTTGGCCAATAGTGGCCTGAGGGTGTCCCTGCCTTCCTCCAGACGGACAGACTCTGGAAGGCAGACATGGGTCTCACTCCTCTGTCTGCCCTAGCATGCAGCCTGGAGCAGGGCCAGAGAAGGGTTTTGCTAGAGAGAGTTAAATTCAAGTGCTCTGACTCAACCCCCTCCCCAATGCACAACACACACACACACACACACACACACACACACACACACACACAGTGAAGCCTGACTCCCGGCCCAACCTGAGCCAAGGTGAGCAGCAGTCATGGCAACCATGCTCTTGCCCACAAGACGAACCACCTTCCAGATGTTTTCCTCTGGGGGAGGTTGCTCCTCTTCTGACCCAGTCCTCCCAGCCCCAACACAGGAAGTCCTTCCTAGGAACCTGACACCCCACACTCTTCCTCAACAAAGGTGGGCTGCCCGAGCCGCTGCCTCCCGCCTCTTCTTCTGCACATTGGCCCAGCCCTGGTGCTCTTCGAAGAGACCAGCTCTGGCACAGATTGGGACTGAAGGAGGGAGGGAAGCAGTGCTCAGAACTCTGCCAACAGCAGATCCATTCCCTGCGGGAACAGAAGCTGGGGGGCGGGAGAAAGCAAGGGGGACGCGTCTCTGTCAGGCAGATGGGACGCAGAGGAGACCAAGCCAAGTACCCCTTCCTTCCTCTGCTCTCCCTCCTCTCCCCATGGGCTCCCCCCACTCCCACCGCCCTCCCCCTCCAGCAGCTCCGGAAAGGTCAGGCGCCTCAGAAACCTTTAATTCTGTTTTAATGAGCTCAGAGGAGTCCCTGGGGGCACAAGGCCAGCTCATTTATCTGTCTGCACCCCAAATCTGCTCCTTATTGAGGTAATGGTGATGTGGGAGTGTTAACCCTTCTGTTCCTGGGATGGGAAAGAGACTCTGAACGGCCCCTCCATATGGGAGAAGGGCCTGCAGAACCCGCCCAGCAACTTGGCCCTGCTCATTCAAGGTGGGGCAGAGGGGTGGGATGTGGAGAAGCCCCAGACCCCCATTTTCTACAACTCCAGCCCAGCCTGCTGCTCTATACACACACACACACACACACACACACACACACACACAGGACTCCACCCACCGCTCCCTCCCCTGCTGTCCTCTTCCCCATCCCACCCTACAAGGGCTCTTACCAAGATGACGGCTGCCACAGCCCCAGCCTCCTTGTCCACCAGCGGTATGACCAGCACTGAGGGGGAGAGGGCAATGAGGTGGTCCTGCGGGGCCAGTGAGGCTCAGGAGACTGAGCCAGGACCCAGGGAGGGAGACAAAGACACAGAGAGAGAGAGAGAGCCTGGGACAGAGACACAGAGAGACCCAGAGACCCAGAGAGACAGAGGGGAGTCCTGAGGCGGCGACAAAAACAGCCACAGCGAAGACCCTTGCATGGAGGGAAACCCCCTCACTCGACAACCTTCTTGTGATCCTCCCAGCAACCCTGAGCGGGAGGCAGGCAGGTAAGGCTGAGCACCCCTAGTTTACAGATTGGGAAACTGAAGTCCAGAAAGGGGAAGTGACTTGCCCAAGATCACACAGCAAGTCAGGTCTCCTGACTCCCAGTCCTGTGCACTTTCCACATCGAGACAGAGGACAGAGACCTAGAGAGACTGAGACACGAGGCAGAGAGACATGGCGGACAGGGGGCATGGAGAGGAAGAGAGAGAAAAACAGAGAGAGTGACAGAGAGAGCATGACAACAGCCACAGCCCATCTAGCGACAGGCGCGAACACATCATCACGGCGGCCACCGGCCACTGAGCCCTAGTAGGTGGCAGCCCTTAACATGCGTTATCTTATTTGCTCTTCCTTGCAACACCCCCTCAAAGTAGGTTCTGTTGTCCCCATTTTACAGACCATGAAACTGAGGCTTAGAGAGGTTAGTAGCATACTAGAGAGAGAATTAGATGGAGGGATTGCTACAGACACAGAGCAAAGGAAAGAAGGAGACCAAGAGATGAACACAGGAGACAGACATGAACTGGGGAGCAGGGGTCACCATTTCTCCTTGCCCCTGCCCAGCTCCCAGCCCTTACCTTGGGTGTCAGGAGCCAGTGGGGCCACCAGCTTGGCCAAAGGCTTCCCAGGGAGGTCCGAGACGCTGCCCAGCCCATTGCAGCCCAGCCGCTTCTGGGAGATCACAGCCTCTCTGCAAAAAAAAAAAAAGGATGACCCCACCTCTCAGCCCCTGGATCAAAGAGAACAATCTCTGGCCCAGGGACACACAGCAGGCTGGGCCCTGCATGTCTGCAAAGATCTGGACAAGCTGACCTGCTGCAGGGCAGATGCGAGGGGGGAAAATAAAAGAGTCGGGGACCCCAGTCAGCTACAGTCCAGCCTCCGGTGCCTCTTGCTGGTAGATACTGGAAAGGTACGTCAGGGGCCAGCACAAATCCCCAGAGCAAGGAAAGCAAGGGCTTGGAGCTAGGCTGCCTGGGTTAAATCTCACCGTGGCTACTACTTGACCTTTGGTGAGTGACCTAACCTCTCCGAGCCTCCTGGATAATCATCATAACTAAAACTTATCACACATCCCTTTATGCTGCACACAGTCCAAGCAAATTACATAGATGAACTCAGAATTTCCAACTATCCTCCGAATTAAATAGCATCATCATCTCCATTTGCAGGTGGAGGAACTAAGGTACCAAGAGGTTAAGGAACCTGTCCAAGGTTGCATGGCTAATAAGTGGTAGAGCCAGGATCTGAACCCAGCCAGCTGGCACCAGAACCCATACTCCTAACCAGCAATGCTTGAACCTTCCTAAAGCCCTTCGCGGGGTGGGGGGTGGGGGTGAGCCTCCAAGAGGGAGTTGGCATGAATACTGGGGAGGCAAAGGGCATAGATGTGATGGAGGGAAGGGGTGGTAGGTGGGGAAGAATGAGCTTCTCTCTGCCCTCATCACACATGCCATCTTCCCCCTCCCCCCCTCCCAGCCTCTGGCTCTTCCTACTTAATTAAGTGCCTGATTTTTCACCAAATGTTACTCCCTGATGATTAATTGTCCTGGGTTCCTCATCTCTCATGCTGCCTCCACTTAATTGCGTTTGTAGGAACTGCTTGGCCTAGCTAGAAGAGCAGCTTGGGGTGGGGGCGGGGGAGGGATGGAACTCCTGTGTGTGGGGGGAGGTCACGAAGGGGAGACCATCAAAAGTCAGATGAAGAAAAGAGAGCTGGTGGCCTGAAAGGCTCCCCAACAGCAGCGAGAGAAGTTGAAGACCAAAGAGGCTGAGCATCTCCAGCGGGTCACGTAGCCTTCTGAACCAGGCCTGTTCACTCCTGGCCCCTGGGTCAGAACCTATTAAGAACCAGTGGTGTCTCCCACCTCCCAGCCCTCACACCCTGGACCTTTAAGGCTCCTGGTGTGCTGGGCGCCAGTTCTGGGCTGAGACTGTGCTAATCCTCCCAGGAAGGAATAGCAACCTAGGGTGGCAGGAGGGCAATGGCAGCCACGCTTTCTGATGACTAAATTGATAAAGGATGGGACTTCATGGAGACAGGGGCCTGGCCTTGGTGACCCTTAGCCAAACCCCCTTGTGGACCCCTCCCAGCCACTTGGCCTGGGACAGTCTGGTTACTGGGCAGCCACAAGGTGGCGCTGGTCCCTGCGTGGCTGGTTAGTGGACTCCGCAGCGTCATTCCACTGACCCCTGACTCTCCACTTCCAATCTCCCCCACCCCACCCCAGGACCCAGGGCTGCCTTGGCCTCCCTCTTCCTCCCAACCCCCCACAAAGGACCCTGATGAAGTAATCTATCCTCAGTTTTTCTTCTGCACAAAACACCTTCCTTTGGGCTTATGCCTCGTGACTCTCCAGCTCCCCTCTCCTGAGTTCCAGACGTCCAAAGGCCTCCTGGAGGCTTTCCTGTGGGCCCCTGAGATCGCCAAAGACACCCAGTCCCAATCCGAACTTACCCTTGCCACCACTACCCCAAGTGGCACAGCCATCCCCTGGGTCCCTTGCCTCCCTCTTCCTCACCTCCCCCAGCCAATGGGTGAGTCACCTCCCATGCATCTCTCACAACGGTCCCCTGCTTCCCATCCCAAGCTACTCCCCAGCTCATACAGAGCCACCCCTCCCCTGACCTGCAGCACCTCTCGCCTAGTCTCCTGCCTCCTGCCAGGTCCCTTAGATCCACCCCTCGTACTAGAGCCAGAGCAAGTTTTCTCAACGAAATACTTATGGGAAAATTCTACTTGAAGTCTTTCATTCCATGGAGTGTTTACTCCGGGTCCTTCCGGGTCAAGTTTGGTACTGAGGACTGAGATGAGAAGAGGAGGCAGATATATGCCTGACTCTTAGCGTCCCAATGTCGCCCAGGGACTGACATGCAGGCCCGTGGCCGAGGGCAGGAGTGAGGGCTCTGACAAAGGGAGGAAGAGTGGGCCCAGCCTCCCAGGTGCCGGATGGAAGTGGGGTCCAGAAGGCTTCCTGGAGTTGAGTCCTAAAGGGCATGCAGAGGTTAACCAGGTAGACAGGAAGGGATGCGCAGGTAGAGGGAACTGCATGTGCAAAGGCTTGGAGAAGGGGAAGAATGAGTGTCTGCTGGACGGTCCAACTGCAAGGAGTTAGTTTGGCTGGACAGCAGGAGGGGGACCAGGGCCCTGAGGGCAGTGGGAGACCCAGAGGGACTTCAGCAGGGGAAGGTAAAGGTCAGGTTTGATGGTTGGCTGCTGGGAAAAATCTCACCAACAGGGAGAATCGGGGAGACCGGAAACCCAGTCTGAGTGAGCACCCCATAGTCTCAGTGTTCCCGGGACAGCAGAGGGGAGGCTGGGCTGGGGCAGGTCAGCCTGGTCTGGGCCCAGATCGCCCTCTGAATGCTGGGGCATCAAGGATCCTCAGTCCTCAGGGTCCCACACGTGGCACCTCGCTCTGTAACCTGCCCTCCCTGGCCCAGCCACGTTCCATGGCCCCAGACAGGCCATGCTCACCTCAAACCCCCCCCCCCCCATTCGAGCCCCTTTCCTCTGCGGTCCCTTTCCCAGAACTGCTGTCTCCACCCCAGATGGGGGTGGGGGCTTCATAAACTGCTCACACCCCAGATGGTTCTCTCCTCAACTTAGAGCCCCCACCGGCCTGCCTCCTGACTCCCCCACCCCCCTGCTCCCCTGCTGCCTCTCCAGGCTGATGGGGGTGAGGGGACTCCACCCCCTGGGCCAGCTGTCCACGTCGGAGGCTAATGAATGACTCAGCCCTGGGCGCCGGGTGCCCCACTGAAGATAAAGACAGATGGGCGCAGAGTGCAGAGAGGAACGGGTGTGGGTTTTATGACAGTTCCGTCCCTTTAACAACTATTTGTTTAGTGGAAAGAGTAGACGGAAAGGCTTTCTGTTGGTGGGGCCAATGGTCTGGAAAGAGCTGGGTGTCCAGGCCCCTTTCCATTCTTCTGAGACCTTTGTTTGGTGTGACCCCAAGCCTTGTACTGACATCCCTCCTCCCACCCTCTGACCTCTCATCTCTCTCAGAGACAAATTATGGTTCAAGCCAGGTCCTGGGCCCTCCGCTCCCTTTCCCTCTCCCAGAGTGTGAGGCTCCAGAGATGGGAACAGACTATTCCCTGCGTCCCCTGGGACAAATCAGAGGGACGACAAATTCTGTGGCGAGAGGGAACCAGCTCTGAGGAAGAAATTTCTCAAGGCTGGGCCTGGGACCCCTAAGTGCTAGGGGAAGTAGACAAGCAGCTGGGGCTCGTGTGGGCGGTGTCTCCATTGTAGCTAAAAAGCCCCAGATTTTGCTGCACTCAGCAGTGGGTAATCAGAGGCTTTGAGATGGCAGGAAACACAATAAGAAGAGGAAAGTGGCGGGGCTGGGGACCGAAATAGTCTGGGAGATAGAAGCAGGGCACCAAGAAGGGAGGGGCGGGGGGAGAGGGGGCGCAGGAGCCTTCCAGGAAGCCTTTCACCCAGGCAGGCCTCCAGGATTCTCTCCCCTCCAGCCCCGAGGCCCCTTGCAGCCCTTGGAATCCAGAGCTGGGCCTGCCCACAGATGCCAATGTTCGATCCTCTCATGTCAGGGAAGTCAGACTGAGGCCCAGGGAGGGAGCACGAGATTGTAACTGCAGCCATGTTGTCCGGGATCCCAGATCTCCCCATTCCCAGCCCACGGTTCTGCTTGTGGACAGAACCACTACAGCCCAGACACCTTTTCTGAAAATTGGATCTTCGTTGGTGCCAGGGAACATGGAGCAGACCTCCTAGAGCAGTGGTTCTCAACCTTCCTAATGCCGTGACCCTTTCATACAGTTCCTCATGTTGTGGTGACCCCCAACCATAAAATTATTTTCATTGCTACTTCATAACTGTAATTTTGCTACTGTTATGAATCATAAGGTAATTATCTGATATGCAGGATGGGATGTATTTTCATTGTTACAAATTGAACATAATTAAAACATAGTGATGAATCACAAAAACAATATGTAATTATATATGTGTTTTTCGATGGTCTTAGGCCACCCCTGTGAAAGGGTGGTTCGACCCCCAAAGGGGTCGAGACCCACAGGTTGAGAACTGCTGTCCTAGAGGGCCTCCGTCTGGGGCCTGGAAGAGAAGTGAAATGCGGGCTGGTCCAGATGGAGACGGCAGGTGGGACTTTGCAGAGAAGGAGGGAGCACATCAAGCATGGCGTGGAGGGGGCGGGCAGGAAACCCAAAACACACTGGGAGGATAGGGTGCACCAGGCGCCTGCAAGCCCCAGGAGTGGTAGGGGTGTTGGGTCAGAAATAGTAATCATGCTCTGTTAACCATAATTTCTGTTCTGATTAGAGAAAGCACATTCTAACCTGGCTGAGGGTTTACAGCCTGGGACATGGGAATTAAATTGGGAATGAGAAGGAGGTCCACTCTCCTTATCTGAGAACTGCCTATTACCGTGGCGAGGCGCATTGCCTGTAACCTGTAACCATTATACCCATTCTTATTCCTTTCGCCTACTGCCCAATGCCTATAATTCCCTTTGCCCACTTCCCCTTGTAATCTTTGTCCTTCCGCCCAGTATAAGCAGCTGGCTTATTGGGGGGCGGGGGCAGGGGCGGGTAAGAGAATATTTTCATGGATGACCTGCTGCCTTCCCATCCTGCCGACATTATTAGAATAAACGCTCATATGTGATTCAACCCTGTCTCTGCTGAATTGACAGGCAGCCCGGACTCACTGGTGGTCCAGTTTCAGGGGCACTGGGAGGAGGGGCTGGGGAGCTGGTGACCCTCTCACTGCCCCGTGGCCCATCTCCACCTGCCTCCCCCACTGCCCTTAGCCCATTCTCTGCCTTTCCTCTTGGCCTTATCTCTTTATGATCCGCCTCCACGTCACACCTGCTGCTGTTTGCCAGCCCTCCAGGGTTTCCTGGAGGAGCACCCCCTGCACTGGGCACTGCCAGAGTCTCAGGCTCCACCTCGGCCGGGGCAGGCGCCTCAGCCTTCTATTGGGGCCAGTGCTACAGATCGCCCCTGGAAGTACCCTGTAACCAACCCCACCCATTTTCTAGAAAAAGACTGAGGCCAGAGGGAAGTAATTTTCTCAAGATCACCCACTGAGTACATGTATTGGGACGTGGGGCTGGAGGGCCACCAGCAATCCCTGAGCTCCTACTATGTGCTGGGCATTATGACAGCACAGGCCTGTCTGACCCCATCCCAGTGCTCCTCCCCCCTCCACATACCTACGTATCAGCCCTAGGGGGGGACGCGGGCTCACCACCAGACGGGGGGGTAGAGTGCAGATTTCACCCCAGTCTTTGCCAGCCTGAATGAACTTTGATCTCCAAGTCCTAAGAGATGCCCCTCTCCCATCACCCCTCACCTACCTTACCTCCTGGGGCTCCTGGGATTTCTGAGCCCTGTCTCCCAGCAGGCACTGGCCTCTCCCTCCCCACTGAACTCTAGGTTAATTGAAACATTCACTCTTAATTGTCTTTTTCTTTTCTTTCTTTCTTTTTTTGTACCTTTCCCAAAGGCTTCACGGAGTCTGCAGTGGCTGGGGGTTGGGGGATGAAAGGACCTGAGCCCCCTCTGAGATGCCGGGACTGCAGACCCCATCCCAGCAGCAGAACGTCTGAGGGGAGTGTCTGCAGTCTCAGCCCCTCTCCCAGGAAGGCCTTCTTTGCTGCTCTGAAGAGACTTCCTGGATAGCGCAAGCTTATATTAAGCAAAGTTGAAGAGACTTCCTGGATAGCGCAAGCTTATATTAAGCAAAGTTCTTGAGAATTAGGGGTGAGGGTGCTGGCTCAGAGGAGAAAAAAGGACATTATAGCATTTTTTCTTCTTGAGATGCCAGAGATCTTCCGGTCCCTGTCCTGCCATCTCACAGATGGGACAGTAGAGGCCAGAGAGGGGCATGGCTGGCTTGGTTCTCCCAGCCCTTGGGAGGAGTTGTCAGGAAATGCTGAAGGGGAGACTGCCACCCACCCTGGAGGCGCACCCCCTGCACTGGGCACTGCCAGAGCCTCACGCTCAGGGGAAGTGGAATGGGAACAAGAGGTGGGAAGGCCCTGGGGTATTGGAGACGCCAGCCCCTTCCATAGGGGAGAGCTGAGGGAGAGACCAGCATCCTGGAATCCAGGGTTCCAAGTGCCGGGACCACCAGCAAGCCCAGCCTGAGGACCTCCAGCACCCCCAAAGAGCTATTCTTCCCGTGGCACCTGCGAAAGGTGAGTACCGTGCCAGCCTCAGCTACTACCTGAAAAAGCCACAGCTCTGGACCTCCCGGCCTGCTGGAAAAACTCTCCCCCGGGGGGTGAAGCGCTGCCTTCCAGTAACATGCCTGCCCCCCGCCCCATGTGCTCACTCAGCCCCCAGATCCCGACCCAGGGCTCCCTGGCCCTTGATGGCCCTGCGGTGCTTGGAAGTCAGTGAGCACACCCTCCGTGCCCTGCCCTCCTCTGGACCCGCAATCCTGCCTGTCAACACTTTCTCATCTGACAAGTTCCACTTCCCCTCATTGTTCCCTGAATGGCCAGTAGCCAAGAGACCATGTCCCAGGCCTGGCTCTCTGCCTCCCACTAGGTATGTGGCGTTGGGCACATCTCACGATGTTTGCCCGTCCGGAAAATAAGGAGGCTGAATTCAATAGGCTCAGAGGTGTCAGGGGACCATAGGGCACCAAGCCCATGTTCCTGAAGCCAGTGATTCCAACATTCTGCCATAATGAAAACACAACCAGGCATTTATCATTCATACAGTTTTAAGTGCTTTACAAATGTGTTAAACTCATTTAGTCCTCCCAACAACCCTATGAGGTAAGTACTATTATTATCACCATTTCACAAACAAGAAAACCCGAGGCGCAGAGCGGTTGGGTGTCTTGCCTTAGGTTGTTCAGCTAGTACATGGGGAGCTGGGATTCAAACCCAGGCAGCTGGGCTCCCGGACCCGCTGCAGGACAGTGCCTGTGAGCTCTGTTCTCAGATGCCCGCGAACTCCTGCAGGCCCAGCACTCAGTGACTCCAAACTCCATGATGCTGTGGTTCTGTGACGGTGAGAACCTTCAGGCGGTTTTCCTAGCCTGCCCGGGTTCTAAATGACAGACTGTAGCCCTGACATTCTGGGACTCGGCTCTGAGGAGGCCGCAGCGATTTACCAGAGCTTTCTGGGAGAAAACCTACCAGTTGGCACGTTCCCAGGGTCACCCATTCCTCCAACCGACACAAAAGGAGACATTGCTTCTCCCCTCAATGCTGGAGTCAGTGGCCCAGCCGAGGAACCGCACCTGTGTCCACTCAGGAGGGGCTGGGAAGCTGAGGCCAAGGTCAGGTGGGGAGGGTCAGACCAGAGGACTCTGAAAGGTGCCCAGTCCTGAGGTCCTTGGCCATGAAGGAAAGCAACAGGGTGGAGGATGGCTCACCGGACTTTTCCCTCCTGGGGCAGCTCATGGGGAGGGTCCTCACACACCAGCCGGGACTCCCTGTCCAGAAGGTAGGTGTAGACTGTTTCCTAAAACAGAAGACACTCATGAGACCGCGGAGAGGCCCTCCCAGCTGCCCGCTTCCAGCCTGTACACAGTGCCAGGTACCAGGGTCACGGGCCCTCTGGGAGTGGGCTCAAGCATCTGATGGGTTTACGCCCCAGGTAATTCTAACATGTAGTCAGGGCGGAAAAACTCCCTTATGAACTTACCATTTCACTGTCTCCTCTCGGAAGGGGTTCTGGACAGGCAGTGCTCTATGACCCTGCTGGCTTTTCTAATCTATCATCCTAAATCCAAGGTGTAGGGAGGGAGTCATGCAGTGAGGGCAATGGAGATGCTCTATAAGGCTGCGCTGAATGGGAGTTGGTTGTAGATCCCTAAGAGCAGCCAGTCCCACCTGGGGAGAATGTGGCATGTTTCCTTGCTGTGACTCCAGCCTCAGCAAACAATAACTCTGCGTCCACTCAAGGCCTTACTGCAGGAGGGGCTCAGAATGTCCCGGAAGCTTCCCTCTTACCTCAGAGACATAAACAACTCTACAAGAAACCACACACTGTGATCCAAGCTGGGAGGGCTTCCTGGAGGAAGTGACCTTAAAGCTGTAACTGGTATGGAAATTAGACTCATTCAGGGAGTGGGCGAAGCACAGAAGAATGGCTTCTGGGTTGAGTGGCAGGTATGTAGGTGTGAAAGGACTAAGTGTTTATGGAACAGACAGTGACGGTAGGAGCACAGGAGGTGGGCTTGGGGTCAGCAGGGGCTGAGCTGGAAGGGCCTGTAAACCAAGCTGGAGCTGGATGCCAGGGGCTGCTGCCAGGTGGAGGGCTGTGGGGTGAGCCCTGAGAGACAGGAGCAGATTTGTATTTTGGAATGATCACTTCCCAGAGTGAGATCAAAGCTCTGCTCAAAAATTGTCCAGTCCAAGGGCCCAGAGCAGTCTCAGCCTCAGTATCAGTCTTGGAAAAATCAGTTGCCTTCACTGACCCACATGCAAAAAGCCACATTCTCCCCAGGTGGGACTGACTGCTCTTAGGGATCTACAACCAACTCCCGTTCAGCACAGCCTTATAGAGCATCTCCATTGCCCACACTGCACGAAGAGGGAGGCCCAGAGAGATGCCAGTGTGTCCAGCAGAGCCCCTGCCCCAGTGGGGGGGCATGCATGTGCTCAGCTAAGTACCCCGAGGGGCACTGTTTTCTCAGTGGCAGAATGGGGAGCTCCCTTCTCTGCTGTTGGTATCAGGGAGGGCTCCTGGAGGAGGTGACATTAGGGCTAGGTGTTGAAGGCCCACCTTCAGTAAGCGTGAAGTCCTTAGTAAAAGCAGCTGCCTTTCATGACTATGAGCCCATAATCCTGCCAGTCACTCTTGTTGCCTTTGGCTGTCCCTAGCCAGCCCTGACCCTCTCCCAACCCCCAGGAGATGGCCTAGTCCTCCTTCCAGAGAACCCACGCCAGACACAGTATGGTGTGGGCTGGGGATGATAGGGCCTGAAGGGAGTGGGAGGGGCAGACATAGGCAAGGCCTGGAGCCCCCTTGGCCTCCTGGGTGAGGGTCCAGGCGGGGAGTTCAGGGATGAAGAAATCAGTGGGAATGAGGCCACCCACTCCTCCTACTGCAGGCCATATTGTCATCTGGCTCTTTTAGCAGCCTAGGCGGGGCCTGTGGGATTTGTCCCTAAGAGACTGAGACCCCACAGCACCCAGAGTCACACAGAGAGTCCTCCCCTGGCAGAGAGAGGTGGACGATCCGGGGTGGGGAGGCAGAGAGGACAGCTCCTCACTTCATTTCCGGTTGTCCCTCTGCCTCCCACACCCTCACTCTCAGCCTCTGGGTTAAAATTAGCTGAGTTTATTGAAGAGAAGAAAGGAACAGTTCCAGACACATCAGCACCATCTGCATTCGGGGCTGCCTGCCACAATGGGTGCTGATGAGGGAGCCAGGTGCTAGCGGCTGTCCTTACTTGTGGGGGGGGGGGGAGGGAGGGAGGAACGGAGGAGGAACACGCCCCCCCCCTCCAGTCTGGAGGCAGAGTAGACCTTCGATCTCCCCCAACCACTCTTTGAAGGCTGAGCCCTTCCGTGCTATCCAGACAAAGCCAGGGCTTCCCGAGCTCAAACAGGTCTCTTGGATGAACCAAAGTAGACATTACCTACTGTTTCAGGAACCTAGTCAGCTGGATCACAGCTGTCTTTCCAGCACCCAGGGCTGGGCATCTATGTGGGCATAACTAGGCACCCTGCCTGTCACCTCTTCCTCCCCCTCCCTGGACAGCCTCAATGGCCACAGAGGGGCCAGGCAGCCTTTGTGGATGCTGACTTGCCAGCCTCCCCACCCCCTCCTTTCCAGATGTGTCTCCACCCCAGGCCAGATGTTGCCTCAGTCCCATCCTTCTCAGGGAGGATTTATTTTTGAGTGCCAACACACCACCCACTTCCTGCCAATTTCATGCTCAGTAAAGCTCACTGTTCAGCCCTCCTCCTGGGCTCTGAACTTCTAGGAGGTTCTGAGAAGGCAGAGCCGAGGAGAGAGAATGGGGGTGCTTAGGTGCCAAGCCCCATGTGTCCCTGTCATGCTGTGTGACCTTGGGGGAAGCACCTGCCTCTCTGGGCCTTAGGTGGTGTATCCATCAAGCAGATTCAGATATAACTGGCCCTGGGGTGGGTCACCTTCTGAATTACCCGCATTTCCTGGAGCAGAGGTTGCCCTTGGCTGGTATCTAGAGTAGAGTCTTCATTCCAGGCTATGGGGACTCAATTTAGGCATCTCCTCCTCCAGGAAGTCTTCCGTGCCCCTTAGGCTGGGTCAGACCTCCCCCTCCGGATTGATAGTCCTCTGCTTCCTTCCCTCGATCTGGCGCAACTGAGACTCTGCTGCTTTGGGTCCTGAGGGTGTTTATCCATCCTACTGCCCAAAGGAGGGACAGTGACCATCGGAGCCAGGTTGGGGAGTGGCCTGGGGCCGCTGAAGGGGGTCAAAGTTTCCTCACCCAGACACTCTGGGCTCGGGCAACCGTGGTGACCAGGTGACCATGGGCCCTGGCAACCTCCCTCCTTTCTGGAGGTCACTTTGACTGGGCACAGATCCATTCATCGAGGCTGAGCCCCATTCCAGCACCTCCCAGACCTAGCATCAAGGAAGTTCTGCATGTCTGCCCTCCACTCCTCCTGCTGTACGTATTCCAAAGCCCACCTGCTGCCACTGTGTCCTAGCTGTTATCCGACCTGGGTGAATACCTTCCATTTCTGAGACGTGCTCTTTTCAGTTAAGCTCAAAGGCGCCTTCTGTCTCCAACATTCCAGGATCGCTATGTAAGTTCATTCTTTAGGGTTAGCTTTAGCCCTCCTCCTCCAGGAAGCCCTCTCCAAACACTCAACCAAACCCTTCACTTCCCCAGGAGAGTCCTCTTAAATCCTCACCTGAGGTTATTTTTTCCATTGGTTTTTAAGAGAGTGGAAGGAAGGGGGAGAGACAGAGCGAGAGAAACATCGAAGTGAGAGAGACACACCCATTGGTTGCCTCCCGCACGCACCCCAACCGGGTCTGGGAATTGAGCCTGCAACCAAGGCATGTGCCGGTGACCAGAATGGAACCCGGGACCCTTCAGTCCTTGGGCTGACACTCTATCCACTGAGCCAAACCAGCTAGGGCCTCTTCCTTCTTTCTTGACCCCGTGTGAGGTGCAGCAAGATACTGGGCAAAGGTTGGGGGGGCAGGGGAAATGTGAAGCCAGGTACCTACCACTCCGGGGAGCACGGCAGAGAGGGCCTCCTTGACAGCCCTGCGCAAGCCCACGATGTCGATGACAGAGCCCAGGCTCAGCAAGGCATCCTGGAAGAGAAGAAAGGGCAGTGAGGGCCTTTGCCAGGCAGAGCCAAAGGCTCCCAGACACTGGGATCCAGGATCTTAGGGCCTCAGAACACAACAAGTCTTCAGGCCCTTGAATGTCCAAGTCCACTCATCTTCCAGATGGGAAAACCGCGTGCTCAGAGCAGGACCGTGAACCTAGCAAAGAGCTCACAGTGAGTCAAGAGGTAAGTTTAGACTAAATCTCAGGTCTCTTGCCCTTTAGCAAGGACAACTCTGGCCTAGTAGGGAAAGCACAAGCCTCCACATTAAACAAGCAACCAAGCAAACAAAAAACCCACCCAAATTTGAATCCTAGATCCACTATTAATTAGCGGTGCGTGCTTTGGTCAACTCACTGAGCCTCAGTCTTCTATCTATACACCGGGGGCAACTGAGGCTACCTCCCCCTTGATATGAAGATAAAATGAAACTGAGCCCCAAAAGGTGCCTTCCAGATTATCCACACAGAGTAGGTGCTCAGCTAAATATCTGCAGAATCTGGGTCCTACTCCCTTTCCCCAAAAGGAAGGTGGTCTCATTTTTCAACCGAGTGAGGGCCGAGGTTAGGAGTACCAAGAGCTCAAGGGATGCATGAGCCCACAAGGCGGAAGAAACGCCGCTGGGTCAGCCCCTCGAAAGACAGAAGGAGAAGTCAGCCTTGACTGCCTCACAGCGTTCCGGTCCCAGGAAGAGGCATTGTCCTTGGAGAGCCGGAACAGAAACAAGAAAGGTCCCTGCTTCTCACTCTATTAACTTGGCCGGAGCCTAGGCGATCAAAGGGAAAGGTAATAGAACCGGGATCCAGGGCCAAGGCAGGGTTATGACTCATTCTGTTCACTCAGCCATGCCCTCCCCGCTAGTCCTTGGAAATTTTTTCTGATGTCTTCCCTTTGGACGGCTGGGTCTGTGTTCAAAAAGCAAAGTGAGTATCTAAAGGAGAGACATGGCTTGGCCCCTGTTCATATGAAAATGATATGAGGTTGAGGGTCTTAGTGGACCACAATCTCAGCATGAGCCCATAGCATGAGTGTGGCTGGTAATAAATTAAAATGCTAAACCCGCAGGCCATATTGATAAAGATTTGTTAACCTCAATAGAGAAGATGACAATTACCCTACTCCTATTGTCTGATCAGACCACCCCAGTGCACTGTGTCTCAGGTAAGGACAAGATGAGACTCAGAGTAAGGAGGGAACTGGAAACCAAGGCCTTCATATGACTAAGACTGAAGAACCTGGGGTTACCTAGCCTAAGGCAGAGCAGACTCAGGGGTCTCAGTCTTCAACTCCAGTCTCTCAGGCTCTCCTGGGCAGGGGGCTGGCCTCTGTGGCCCCAGGGATGGCCTGGAGATCCATAAGATTTCGCAGGAGGCTGCCCTTGGTCCAATGGGACGAAGGACCTTCTTCCAGGCAAAGCCATCCTACATAGGCGGAGGCCACCAGGAGAGAGGGGGGGAGTGAGCTCCCCATCCCTGAGGCTATGCAACGACGGGCTAATTGCCCATTTTGTCAGAGAGGCTACACAGAGTAGTCCTGCACTGGGGCCCAGACTTCAGCTCCAGACTTCACCCTTGCATCTTCTTGGCTTCAGTTTCCTCCCTGCCCTCCTCCCTCCCAGTCCTGTGTTCCCAGGAGGGGGGAGCAATGGGCTTTCTTCCCGCATGCTCACTTGGCATTGCTTTCCCCAACTCCCAGCCTCCCTTTGATCCCTGCTACTGCTCAAGGATGAAGACGCATTTTGATCATAGAGATATGTCTCTGCCCTTGGACAACAGAAGCTGCTGCTTCCAAACAGTACAACTCCCAGATCGAATCAATTGTCCTTCGGCGCTCCTCATCACAAGGCAACACCCTCAGCACCATGCACACCTGGCGGCACAGCCACAGGCCCTCACACCCTCGCAGAAACACCCCAGCGTGCCTTCAGACTCCCTCCAGGTACACGCGCGGGCTCACATGGATGCATTTCCCACAGAGTCGCAGGGCCAGGGCTCAAAACATCTGCTCGCATCGTATACATGCAGGCTATGGTGGCCTTTAGGGGTCAATCTGCAGACTAAAGAGGGGAGGAAGAGCTGATGCCTCATATAATCTGAAGTAGCATCTGCAAACCCAGGCTCCTCAGAGTGGTTCCCAACAGAGAGTCCTAGAAGGTGGTGCTGGCTTAGGTCTGCTCCCGGCTGGAGACAGGGGGTGGACAAGGTGAGCGCTGAGGAGCCCTGCCCTGCAGTTGGATATGTGTGCTGTGGAAGTTGGAGGAGAGGGAATGGAATATAGGCACTGATGTAGGGGGAATTTTTTTTCAAAGCCACAGGCTTGGGACAGCTAAGTGTCCCCATTTGACAGATGAGGAAACTGAGGCTCAAAGAGAAGCAAGGCCCCTTCTGTGGTCAGCCAGCCGGTCAAGGCCGAGCTAAGTCCAGAATCCAAGTCTCTAGCTCTCCAGGCTCTGTTCTGCACCTGCCCCCCAGTCCCCTCCTCAGGGGGCTTACAGAGAATAGTCTTTCCTGTGTTCTCGTTGGTGGGCTCTTGGGCCTGTCCTTTATTTGGATTGGGGGATGCCCTGACCTGTCCTTTACTGGTGTTGGTGGGTGCTTGTCTGGCCTTTGTTCTGATTGGTCAGTTTTCTGTGACTCCTCAGGCTAAGGGCAGGATAATGGCAAGGATGGGAGAATGAGATAGGAAACTTCGGGAGAGTTGGGGCAGCAGCAGGGAGAGGGTGTCACATCCAGCCAGACTGGGTTGGATGCAGACAGGCTGATGGTCTGGGGCTCTCTGCCTGGCATCCTTCTGTCCATCCACTTCCTGGCCTTGCCCTGCCCACCCCAGGACTGGAGGGTGTTGGGTGCAGGAACATGGCTGGGAAGGGCCACTCAACCTTGCCCTCAAAGAGTTCTTCAAGGCTTGCTCCTCCTTGGACCTTCCACAGATCTCAAAGCAGCATCACCTCCACTGCATCAACTCAAGGGGGACATAACTCAAATTCCATGAGGTGGGGCATGGAGAGCAGGGCGCTGCCCAGTGAGGGGAGGAGAGAATCAGTGGGGCATGGAAGTGAGGGAATCCCCCAATGGGAGGAAGGGGGGGGACTGACAAGGCTCAAGTCAAGGGCTAGAAGCCCAGCAATCTTAGAAAGAAGAGGAAAGGGAAGCTCAAATAGAGCCATCTCTGCTCTCATGCACATCTACACGTGTCAAACATATACATGTCGCCATGCACACACCACTGCCCAACATATATGCACACACCTCACACAAACATGCACACACGAATAGAAATGCAACCATATATACAAATGGGCACTTAGGCATGTGCACGCATGCACTCACGCACGTGTGCGCACACCAGGCTCGGGTGGGGTGAAGGTCACATTTCCTGCCTCCGAAGCTTTTTTGAACCAACGTCTATATAAATGTCAGCATAACAACCAGGCAATTTCCAAGACCACAGGGGAGAATTTGTGGTGCACAGAAAAAAAGCAGCGATTTCCAGTCCTGCCCCAGATGGACTACAGAAGCTCTGTGTGGCCGATCAGCAAGGGTCTTCTGAGCCTCGGTTTCCTCGTTAGTAAAAATGAGTCCTTCCAGCTCTGCAACATATAGCTCTATGGTTTTGTGTTTCAGTTCAATGCAGATGGATGGATGGACAGACGGAGGGTGGATGGGTGGGTGAGACTCCCTGCTTTCTCCAGCCCTACCGGTAGCTCTGTGGTTGGAGGTAGGGCCACTCAGCACCGTAGACAGTGCCACTCCCACTCACTAGTCTCCCACCCCAGGTACTGAGAGAGGGAGCCTGTTCTGTTCCGGAGGAGTCCCTTTCTCTGGGGCCAGCGTTGGGGCTGGACCAGCATCTCTGCACTCGCCTGGGCGTGGAGAAGGTCTGGACTAAATTACTTCTAACTCCTTAATGCCTAGGATTATATGAAGCCAAAGACCTCGGCCTGATGCCTTCTGATGGCGTAAGGGACTAATGCCCTTCTTGAGGGTCAGTACCACTGTCACAGCCTGCTCTGCTGTCTTGTCTCTGTGAGTTTCTATGTCTTTTCCACCTCCACAAACTACTTCCTGCTCTCCCTGCAGCCAAAAACTACCCCCCCCCCCACACCTCTGGAAGGAAGCTCACAGTGCCCCTCATGGTGGCCTAGAAGAAATAAAACACCAAAATCACATCAAACCCAGTAGTTCAACGCCTCCCAAGACAAGTTGTGTTAGTGGGACGAGCCATACATACTGGTTCTTCCAACTCTGCTCATGTGAGGTCCCCTGTGTGCCGGACTTTGGTGTCCTCTTCTCTGAGGAGGGGGGCTCCTTCAAGACCCTCCAGGACCTTGAGCCCCTCTCCCTTTCTAATCCTCTTTCCTTCCCTCCGGGGCTGTGTGTCTCTCTCAGACTTTATCTCTCCAGTCTCTCCGAGGGAATCTCTCCCTCCCGCGTCTCCCTCAGGCCAGGTCCACCTCTTCCACAGGCTGCTCTCCCGTCTCATCTCCAAGAGTCTCGATGTCTTTTCCCACCTCCAGATCCTGGCTCCTCTCCTGGCTTCTCCTGCCATCTCTCTCCTGCCCACTCCGGTCCCGCCCACTCCTTCCCCAAACCTCCAAGTAGTCACCTTGAGGACTTGGGAGAAACTGCCTGACCCAAGATGAGCATCCACAGAATGGGGGGACCCAGAAAGTCAGCCCCATTGGGAGAAACCAGGGGTGCCAAGGCAGATGCCATCTACACTCTTCTGCTTCCTGCCTCCTGTTCTGGTGGGCAATATACACAATCTCTTATCCTCCAGAGAACAGTCTTCAGAGACAAAGGAGAAATCTGTCTCTATGCCCAGCACATGCCTGGCTCTAGCAAGCCCAGATGCTCCCATCAGGGTGATTAGCAGAACTCCCCCAAAGGAGGCCCCCTGGGGACCCAGGACAGAGTAGCCCCCTTTGGCTGGGCCTCAGACCCCAGCCTGAGCCCGAGCACCCAAGCTTATGCTGTGACTCTCACAGCCATCGCAGCATGCCTAGCCCTGTACTTGGAGACTCTACAAGGAAGTGGGAGAGGCGGCCCAACCCCGCCACCGCCCACGTCTGCCACCTGCCCAAGGAGCTAGCTAACAGACATGGTGCCTTAAATACTCAGAGAAGAGCTGCCCAGGAGAACTAAGATCTTACAGCTCCAGACCTCCCCTCAACAAGGCTGAGCTGGACCAGCAGCAGGAGAATGGAGGAGAGAGGCTTGGTGACCCTCTGTGACTGGATCTGAAGGAACCAGAAGGAGAGAGACCCAGGCCACAGCTGGACAAGCTCAAATGTCAGTGCCCTGCTTGCATGGCGTTGGGAAAGGGAAGGCAGCATTCTCAAGCACCTACTGTGGCCAGAAGTGCCCACCAGTGGTTCTCACACTTGAATGTGAATCCCCTGAGGGCTTGTTGCCATGCAGATTGCCAGGCTCCACCTCCAGGGTTTCCCGTGCAGTGAGTCTGGGATGAGGCCAAGAATTCCCATTTCCAAAACATTCGTAGATGATGAGGGTGCTGCTGGCCCAGAGGCCACAATTTAAGACCCCGGGACAGGCACTACCTCTAATCCTGCCACAAATGCTGGCAGGTAGGTGCCTGCTTGACCAACCCATTTTCTAGGTGAGGAGGTTAAGGGTGAGAGAGGAGAGGACGCCCCGTTCTCTGGCAGCAAGTGCAGGAGGGAGCCTTCTCAGGGAAGGTCCCAGAGGAGGTGCAGAGGGGAGAGCGTGAGATACGACACTGGGGCCATCTGGTGGGACAGCGGGCCCGCTTGGGACCAGGACATATGGAAGGGCCTCTCTTCCCCCTATCTTTCTCTTCCTCTCCTTCCTCCTTTACTTCCCCTCCCCTCACCGCTCCTCCTCCCTCCTCCCACCCTTCGCAGACTCCAGCTTCAGTTGTTACTCCAACAGGGCCGCGTCTCCAGCCTCCGAGCCACACTGGAGACACGTGCACTGTAGAATACACCTGAGCCCAGTCCTGGCGCCGCCCCCCCCCCCCCCCAGGGTCCCCACCTTAAAGACCTGGTCCCCTCTAGGAGTCACAACTAGTTCCTCCCAGGTTCATCCTCTCTAAGCCGGTCTCAGCTTCTACTTAGCTTCTGTCTCCTCCAAAATGGCCTCCTGATTGTCCCAGGTTTGGGGGTGGATGAGGGATGGGAAGGGGAAAGAAGTTGGGGAGAGAAGGAAGGAATTGTGTGAGCACTCAGATCTCTGAAGGCCTGGCTCACTGGGATCCCTCAGTCCCCAGCACAGGGCTGAGGTCAGGAAAGGAGGGGATAAGGGAGCAGCCAGAGTGGGCAGAACTGGGTGAGGGGAGGGGGAAACGGCCCAAGAGGCAGACCTCAGATCAAGCGGACCAGGACAGGCTCAGGGCTCCTCCTGCACCCTCCCCACCTTCAGCTGCCTCCACACGACAGAGCCAGTAGCGCCTCCATCCCCACTGCCCACACTCTCCTCCATGCCACTGTGCCTCCCAGGGCACTCCACCAGCATCCCTTCGTCCCTGCTGTCCCACTCATCTTGCACCTGATGCCTCTATCGTCCTAGACTCCTGGCCAGGGGTCCATGTGGGCAGTTAGGCACAGCGGGCAGTCACAAGGAGGCAGATGTAAGCTTGCTCTGAGTCAGTCATACCACAAAAGACAAGCCTAAGCCGTAGGGAAGGGTGAGCTCCCTGTCCCCAAGGGTGCGCAAGGAACGAGGCAGGGGCAGGGCAGGGGGGCTGCCAGGTAGTGTGTGCCCTGGGGAAAGGTCTTGGTGAGCTTGGCTGTCCCCGTCTCTGTTTCTGTCTCCCTGGATTCTCCATGTTTGTCCCTCTTGCTGTCTGTTCTTCTGTGTCATGTGTCTCTCCCACTGCCTCACTGCTCAGTTTCATGACTGTATTTGGCTCTATCTTCAGGGCCTGGCCCAGCCCAGCTGTTCCCCAAATCCTGGCGGGGGGGGGGGGGTATGAGAAAGAGACTTTGATAGACAAGAACCAATTCAGAGACAGAGGGACAGACCCTGGGGACAGGGGTTGGGGAGGGTCACATGGCCAGGGTCATATAGCCTCCTGCCCCCTCGCCCACTGAGGGGAAGTCCCTGAAGACCAAGCCAGATCTGGAAGAAATGGGGTCCACCCTTTCCCTCTAGACTAAGTGTTGGCCACCCTCCTGCTCCCTGCCCTGCAGGAATGTGTTGCTCCTAAGAATAGCCCTCTGTATTGGGGGTTGGCGTGAGGAATCTGGGGGCAGGGTTCATCTCAGGCATGCCCCTGCCTCTGGGCTCCCATCCATGATGTCCCCCAGAGTGAAAGCTCTATGAGTTGCCCCCCATCCCTACCTGCAATCCAATGTCGGTCTGACTGTGTCCCTCCCTTGCATAAGAATGTCATGGCGCCTGCGCCCAGGACAGGCCCTCAGCGCCCAGGCCTTGCTGGGAGCTGTTTGTAAAGCTCTAAGCACCTGGACAGCACTACTGCTGTTCCTGTGACTCCCACGATCCAGGCTTCTGAGCTGGAGCCTCTTCCCACCTCTCCAGCCTTAGTCCTGCACCTCCTCGCCCCTCCCACCTCCAGGCCTGGGCCCCTCCATTTCCATCTCCTGCACTGGGATGTCCTCTCTTCTCCCTCTTGTCCTTCCAGGACTGTCCCTAGTCCACCTGCTCCAGTGCCTGATCCCTGCTGTGCTATTCTGTTCCCCTGGTCCTGCCCTCCAGCATTCACCTCTCTGCACTGTTCCTGGGCAGATCAGCAAGCGCTGAGCCTCTGGCACTGAGCAGAGGGTAGCACTGAGGCCCAGGGAAGGGGATATGGTAGAAAGACACTGCAGGCTCCGGGGCCCTGCACCCTGCCCTGAAATCTGCATCCTACTGGCCCCACCCTCTCCCCACCCCAGCTTGGGTTTTCTCTTCTGCACCCGAGGCCTGGAGTCTCTCAACTTCAGACTCCAGAGGAGAGCCCATCCAGTCCCACCTCCTCCTTGCCCCCATTCTCTAGATGGGGGCACTGAGCCACGGAGAGGGGAGGTAGTGAGCCCGCGAGCCCACCGGAGCTGGCCATGGACCTCGGTCTTGCTGCATCGTTGTGTGGGGTCCCCATCAGCAGGGCTCAGAGGCAGGGGCAGGCTCCTCACACAACCCACCACCCCGCCCACCCCACCCTGGCAAGCAGCCTGGCATCCAAAGTTATTTGCCTTTGGAGGGCCCAGGAAGCCAGAGAACAAACATCCGGAGTCTCTGGAACTTCTCCCTACTCTCTCCTCACATCCCAGGATCCGGGAGCCACGGAGCAGGCACACACACACACACACACACACACACACGCACACACCTCAGGGCTGGGTAAACACGTGAGCCCAGGAGATCTCATGCGATGGTTGTGCCTGTGAAGCTGTGCAAATCCTACAGAAACCCGAAACACAGCCCCAAACCAGGACGATGCCCCCACAGACCTTGTATAAGTTTTGTCTTGGAACTGAAAATTAAAATCGCTTTTGTATGACTTCTTTCGATTGCCCAATTCCGGATGCTCCCATCGAAACTGATGCACTCATCAAAAGTGACCTTTTCTCTCACTCCCTGGGAGCTCCTGCTTTGCTGGAGACTTAAGCACATGTGTGACCTGCCCATTAGTCGTCCATAAAGCATGTCCCTGGGGCCATCATGTGACCAAGCAGACTATGTCCCTTGAGTCACTAGGAGAATGTCTGTGTGAAAGCACGTGGGCCTGGGATTCTGTAGGAGAATGTGTGTGAGTGTGAATGTGTGAGCACCCCTGTGTCCACATCTGTGCATGAGCCGTCTGCGTGTGCTGTGACTGTCACAGCCTGTGTCCGTGTCCATGTGAGCCTGGGTGTGCCCTGTGAGTGTGCAGCTGTCTGAGGGAGGGTGTGTACCCGTGGCTGGTTTTGACTCCAAATAAGTGGCTGAGTGCATGTCTGAGAGTGTTGGCTCAGTGCATGTGGTGGGTCTGATTCTCCTTCCCCAGGTTCCCCCGTTACCTCTGCACACGTCACCTGCGTGGCACTGGACGGGTCTTTAACCTTCTTGGGCTAAGTTTCCTCATCTATAAAATGGTGCCTTCTCCCAGCACTGCTGAGAAGACGGGAACCACACAAGTCCTGCCTAAGCTGGCTCCCAGCAGGGGACTAGGCCACCTCT